ACCACCAAAACGTTGCCTGGCTTCCAGAACACACGGCTCATCAGCCAGCCCAGCACCACAACGTTTCCTCGCTTCTACAACACGCGGCTCATCAGCAAGCCCACCACCACAACGTTGCCTGGCTTCCACAACACGCGGCTCATCAGCAAGCCCAGCACCACCACGTTGCCTGCTTCACACCACGCGGCTCATCAGCAAGCCCAGCACCACCAAAACGTTGCCTGGCTTCCAGAACACGCGGCTCATCAGCAAGCCCAGCACCACCAAAACGTTGCCTGACTTCCAGAACACACGGCTCATCAGCAAGCCCAGCACCATAACGTTTCCTCGCTTCTACAACACGCGGCTCATCAGCAAGCCCAGCACCACCACGTTACCTGGCTTCCACAACACGCGGCTCATCAGCAAGCCCAGCACCAACAAAACGTTGCCTGGCTTCCAGAACACACGGCTCATCAGCCAGCCCAGCACCACAACGTTTCCTCGCTTCTACAACACGCGGCTCATCAGCAAGCCCACCGCCACAACGTTGCCTGGCTTCCACAACACGCGGCTCATCAGCAAGCCCAGCACCACCACGTTGCCTGCTTCACACCACGCGGCTCATCAGCAAGCCCAGCACCACCAAAACGTTGCCTGGCTTCCAGAACACACGGCTCATCAGCAAGCCCAGCACCACAACGTTTCCTCGCTTCTACAACACGCGGCTCATCAGCAAGCCCATTACCACCACGTTACCTGGCTTCCACAACACGCGGCTCATCAGCAAGCCCAGCACCACCACAACGTTGCCTGGCTTCCACAACACGCGGCTCATCAGCAAGCCCAGCACCACCACAACGTTGCCTGGCTTCCACAACACGCGGCTCATCAGCAAGCCCAGCACCACCACGTTGCCTGCTTCACACCACGCGGCTCATCAGCAAGCCCAGCACCACCAAAACGTTGCCTGGCTTCCAGAACACGCGGCTCATCAGCAAGCCCAGCACCACCACAACGTTGCACAGCTTCCACAACACGCGGCTCATCAGCAAGCCCAGCACCACCAAAACGTTGCCTGCTTCCACAACACGCGGCTCATCAGCAAGCCCAGCACCACAACGTTGCCTGGCTTCCAGAACACGCGGCTCATCAGCAAGCCCAGCACCACAACGTTTCCTCGCTTCTACAACACGCGGCTCATCAGCAAGCCCAGCACCACCACGTTGCCTGGCTTCTAGAACACGCGGTTCATCAGCGAGCCCAGCACCACAACGTTGCCTGGCTTCCACAACACGCGGCTCATCAGCAAGCCCAGCACCACCAAAATGTTGCCTGGCTTCCACAACACGCGGCTCATCAGCAAGCCCAGCACCACCACAACGTTGCACAGCTTCCACAACACGCGGCTCATCAGCAAGCCCAGCACCACAACGTTGCCTGGCTTCCACGACACGCGGCTCATCAGCAAGCCCAGCACCACCACGTTACCTGGCTTCCACAACACGCGGCTCATCAGCAAGCCCAGCACCACCACAACGTTGCACAGCTTCCACAACGCTGCGCTCTCCTCTTGGTCGCGCTGGGGGGCGGGGGGGGGGCGACTCTCGCAACAGCCCTTGGCTCCAACATAAAGGGCCGTCCATAAATGACGTCACGCGATTTTTGACCACTCGACCCCCCCCCCCCTCGTCACACGGCGTCACAAAAAGTCAGACACCCCCGCCCCCCTTAAATATGACGTCACAAAGCTCTGCCCCCCCCCCCCAAAAAAAAAAACATGCTTCAAATCGCTTTAAACTATTGCGTATTTAATGTGGCGCTGCACTCTGATGTTGTAGGAGAAACATTTATCACAAAGTCTATTTATATTCTTAGCTCTTTCGGTAAATCTTCTTTGGTTCTTTCGGTAAAGTCACGTAGAATGAGAATAAATAATAAATTGATAAAATAAAATAACACAATAATATTCTCACGACGTTTCGGCCACAACACAAGCGGCCTTGTTGTGGCCGAAACGTCGTGAGAATATTATTGTTATTTTATCAATGTATTATTTTATTCTCATTCTACGTGACTTTACCGAAAGAACCAAAGAAGATGAATCCTTGCAGTCACGAAAGCTTTAAATTGAAAATCTTTCAGTAATGTCACGTTGTTTTATATATATTTTATTATTTTATCGTTTCCCTTCAACGTGACTTTACCGAAAGAGCTAAGAATATGAATTACTGCAGTCACGAAAGCTTTAAATCAAAATTTAAAGTCTATTCAATTAAGTTAGAACGTCTTGTCTATATTTATTTAAAGTTGCGCATGTCGATGTGACGTCACATTTCTCAAAACACACCCCCACCCCTCCCCCCAGGTGCGTGACGTCATTTATGGACGGCCCCCTCACCGCGTTCGATTGCGAACGAATGAACAAAGAGCAAGTGCATGGGGTTGCCCCCCCCCCTTGAGCTCCCTCTGGGCGACGCAGTCGACGTTTCGCACCGAAGCCAGACGGCCGATCCAAGCTCGCGTTTCGCTTTCTCTAGATGGATGTATTTTTTTTGTATAGTTTTTTTTCTTGCCTTGACGCATTTCGCGTTCCCATTTTCTTGAAACCCAATTGTTTTTTCTTCCCCCCCCGTTTGCGATGACGTACGCACGGCACGCACGCACGCACACACACGCACACGCACGCACGCACGCACGCACACGCACGCACACACGCATGTACCCACACACGCACACACGCACGCACGCGCACACGCAGGCGCATCCACGGCATCACTTTCTCTCTCTCTCCCGGTTCCGTTTCCGGATGACGCGCGCATAAGTCTTTACGAAGCAACTCTATCGGGCAGGAACGTACCGAGACTCACCCCAACAAGGCCACGCGCGTGGAAGGGGGTGACGGGGGCGTATGTGTATATGTCTGTGTGTGTGTCTGTGTGTGTGTGTGTCTGTCTTTGTGTGTGTCTGTATGTCTGTGTGTGTCTGTATGTGTGTGTCTGTCTGTGTCTGTCTGTATGTGTGTCTGTTTAACACGTAGGCTTTCGCGACCAATATTATTCATAATAAAGGTTGTTGGGTTAGATCGCGTTATTTATAAATGTGTCGTAACCCTCCACCACCCGACGTCACCCTGCTGCTCTATATAAAACCGGGAGCAAGCGAGGGCTTTACCATTCTGGCGAATTGCCCGATGATGCTGGATGTATTTACCAGCGAAACGTCGTACTCAAACTGTAAATGTTGTGGATTCACTCTTCAACACACCGGTGGGCTGAAGTAGTGAATTATTTGTCTTTTGTCAACGTGACACTTTTTTTGCTGATTGGCCGTGTCGGGTGGTGAAGGGTTACGACACATTTATAAATAACGCGATCTAACCCAAAAACCTTTATTATGTGTGTGTCTGTCTGTGTGTCTGTCTGTGTGTGTGTCTGTCTGTGTGTCTATCTGTCTGTGTGTGTCTGTGTGTGTGTCTGTGTGTGTGTCTGTGTATGTGTCTGTCTGTGTGTGTCTGTGTGTGTCTGTGTGTCTATCTGTCTGTGTGTCTGTCTGTGTGTCTATCTGTGTGTGTATCTGTGTGTGTATCTGTGTGTCTATCTGTCTGTGTCTATCTGTCTGTGTCTATCTGTCTGTGTGTGTGTCTGTCTGTGTGGCTGTTACTCCGAATCAGTCGAGCGGCAATATCTTTTAATTGGTTGCGTAACGCTGTGTGTAAGCTACCTGGTCTGTCGCTCCGCTCTAAGCTTCAGGTCTTCTCGGCCACGGTCATTCCCTCCCTTCTCCACGCTTGCGAAACGTGGAACCCCTTAATGGAACATCTTCGCCGGTTAGAAACATTTAGGCTTGCCTGCCTACGATCCATCCTAGCTTTAACCAGGCTGGATTGTGTGAGGAACTCACAAATCCTTGAAAGATCTGGGCAAGGTCACCATCGGTGAGCTCCTCCGGCAGGCAAGGCTGCGTTGGCTGGGTCATGTAGCCCGCATGCCCAGCCACCGCATGCCGAAACAGCTTTTGTTCGGCCGGATCGAGGGGGCTAAACGGGCGCGGCACGGGTTAGAGAAGAGATGGAGTGATGTGGTACAGGAGGCCGTGGAGCTGAGTGGACTTGCCGATGACTGGTACCAGCGGTGTCAAGATCGGCCTCTGTGGAGGAGGCTCGTGAAGGACGCTGCTACTGGGCAGTTGGAGACAGTCGTCCTCCAACAACAACGGTGGGCGGAGGAGCGACGCTCACAACAACGAGCGGAGCGCCGGGTGGCTAAAGCACAGCAAGTTGGCACAGTAGGGGGCACAGGTGGTGCATCAGTCAGTCATCTCAGTCAGTCGACCCGTGGCACCTGGGTCTGCCCCGTGACCTCCTGCCAGCGGGCGTTCGACACTTCACGTGGCCTCAAGGTGCACATGGCCTGGCACAAGCGTCGTGGTGACGTCACCGCCACTTAGTGGCGAATGGCGGTTGTTGTTGTGTCTGTCTGTGTGTGTCTGTCTGTATGTGTCTGTGTGTGTCTATTTGTCTGTGTGTGTGTCTCTGTGTGTCTATCTGTCTGTGTGTATGTATGCGTGTGTGTATGTGTCTGTGTGTGTCTGTGTGTGTGTCTATCTGTCTGTGTGTGTGTCTGTGTGTCTGTGCGTGTCTATCTGTCTGTGTGTATGTGTCTGTGTGTGTCTATCTGTCTGTGTGTGCGTCTGTGTGTGTCTATCTATCTGTGTGTGTGTCTGTGTGTGTGTCTGTGTGTGTCTATCTGTCTGTGTGTGTCTATCTGTCTTTGTGTGTGTCTCTGTGTGTGTGTCTGTGTGTCTATCTGTCTGTGTGTGTGTGTATGTGTCTGTGTGTGTGTGTGTTTGTGTGTATGTGTCTGTGTGTGTGTCTGTGTGTGTGTCTGTGTGTCTGTGTGTATGTGTCTGTGTGTGTCTACCTGTCTGTGTGTGTGTGTCTGTGTGTGTCTATCTGTCTGTGTGTATGTATGTGTGTGTATGTGTCTGTGTGTGTCTGTGTGTGTGTCTGTGTGTCTATCTGTGTGTCTGTGTGTGTCTGTGTGTGTGTGTCTGTGTGTCTATCTGTGTGTCTGTGTGTGTCTGTGTGTGTGTCTGTGTGTCTGTGTGTGTGTGGCACGGTTTCTGTCGCCGGCTGCCGTGGAGAGCGGCGGAGTTCCGCGCGGGCGACGTCAAAAGAACCACGGGGCACTGCCGCTACTTACGCCTCTCTCTTGAAATAACAAAAAGACAACGTTCTTTTTTTAACCCGCCGAACCGCTGTGCGCGCTGCCCGGATTCGGCGGTGCACTCGAACCCCGCGGCGTCCCCAGCAAACTGCGCGAGGCGTCCGCCTCCGACGGGGGGAACGGGGGAACCGGTGGATGCCGTCGGCAATCAGCGCGCGCGCCCGTTGGCGCCGACTTTCATTCACCGAAATTAACCAAACCCAAAGCAACAACAACAACAACAAACAAACAAAAAACCTTCTCCGGCGTAGTTCGTATTTATATATATATTTATAGAGTCTCGCCACCCGTTGAAATCCCTCAAAAGATTCGCCGGCGGGGGTGCGGGCGTTCGCTCAACTCCGTCCTGCCCGCCGACGGATGCGAACCAAGCGTCCGAGCCGAAGCGGAGGGCCTTCGATAGACGGGGGAGAAGCGAACCCGCGGCTGCGCTGCTTGGGAATTTCTCTCTCTCTCTTCCTTCCTCGAGTTCGTCTTCGAAGCGCACGTTGGGGTGGTGCTGCTGCTGCTGCTGGTGCTGCTGGTGGTGGCTGTGGCTGTGGTCACGCCAGCGTCTCCTTGGCGGACGCGGGCAACCGCCGGTTGTTGTAGGCGTGCATGCCCAGCGGCTCCTCGGAGCGCATGAGACCCACCACCACCGTGGCGGTCGTTACGCCGCCGCCGCCGCCGGTGGTGGTGGTGGCGGCGCCGGCACCGCCGGCACCGGCGGCGGTGCCGGCGGTGGCCGGAGGTGACCTCCGCACTTTGTGACGGCAGCGCAGCGACACGCGCAGCGACTCGCTCATCGCGCTTAGCACCGAGCGCTGGCGCAACGTGGAGGGGGGTGGGGAGGGGAGGCGGTGGTGGTGAGGTGGTGGAGGAGGGGGTCAGGCGGGTGAGGATGGAGGAGGGTGAGGGAAGAGGATGGAGGAGGGGTTGATAGTGAAGGATTGTGGTTGTCATAATGGATGGGAGCGTGGCGGTTTACAGTGATTATTGGTGGTGGTGGTTATAATGATAGTGGTGATGATGCTGGTGGTGATGATGGTGGTGGTGGTGATGATGATGATGGTGTAGATAACGTTGGTGTTGATAGTGGTGATGATGATGATGGGAGCGATGATGGTGGTGAGGATAGTGGGGATGGTGGTGATCATGGTGGTGATGATAGTGGTGGTGGTGGTGATGATGGTGTAGATAACGTTGGTGTTGATGGTGGTGGTGATGATGATGGGAACGATCATGGTGGTGAGGATGGTGGTGATCACGGTGGTGATGATGAAGGAGGAGGATGAGACCAAAAAGGCAATGTCATTCTTGATGTCATCATCATCATCATCGTTGGTAGCAGCAGTAGCAACATCATGACCAGCAGAGGAAACATTTTGGGGATTATTCCCGTTATCACCGTCGCCTTCATCATCACCATCACCACCATCATCACCATCATCATCACCACCATCCTCACCACCATGATCACCACCATCCCCACTACCATCATCGTTCCCATCATCATCAGCATCATCACCACCATCAACACCAACGTTATCTACACCAACATCATCACCACCACCATCATCACCACCATGATCACTACCATCCTCACCATCATCATCGTTCCCATCATCATCACCACCATCAACACAAACGTTATCTACACCACCATCATTATCACCATCATGATCACCACCATCCTCACCACCATTATAGTTCCCATCATTATCACCACCACCATCACAGCTGTCACCATCACCATCATTGTCATCAACACCACCGACAACATCAACAACATCCTCATTCACCACAGAGTGCCGGTGACGCCACTGCAGAGCTTGTGCCAGGCTAGGTGCACTTTGAGCCGGAGGAGTGTGCCAGGCTAGGTGCATGAGGAGGTCACGGAGCAGACCCAGGTGCCACGGGCTGACTGCTGTGCCAGGCTAGGTGCATGTGAAGGTCATGGAACAGACCCAGGTGCCACGTGTTGACTGCTGTACCAGGCTAGGTGCATGAGGAGGTCACGGAACAGACCCAGGTGCCACGGGTTGACTGCTGTGCCAGGCTAGGTGCATGTGAAGGTCACGGAACAGACCCAGGTGCGACGTGTTGACTGCTGTACCAGGCTAGGTGCATGAGGAGGTCACAGAACAGGTCCATGTGCCATGGGTTGACTACTGTGCCAAGTTAGGTGCATGAGGAGGTCACGGAACAGACCCAGGTGGCACGGGTTGACTGCTGTGCCAGGTTAGGTGCATGAGAAGGTCACGGAACAGACTCAGGCGCCACGGTTTGACTGCTGTGCCAGGCTAGGTGCATGAGAAGGTCACGGAACAGACCCCCAGGTGCCACGGGTTGACTGCTGTGCCAGGCTAGGTGCATGAGAAGGTCACAGAACAGACTCAGGCGACACGGGTTGACTGCTGTGCCAGGCTAGGTGCATGAGAAGGTCACGGAACAGACCCAGGTGGCACGGGTTGACTGCTGTGCCAGGCTAGGTGCATGAGGAGGTCACGGAACAGACCCCCAGGTGGCACGGGTTGACTGCTGTGCCAGGCTAGGTGCATGAGGTCACAGAACAGACTCAGGCGCCACGGGTTGACTGCTGTGCCATGCTAGGTGCATGAGGAGGTCACGGAACAGACCCCCAGGTGCCACGGGTTGACTGCTGTACCAGGCTAGGTGCATGAGGAGGTCACGGAACAGACACAGGTGGCACGGGTTGACTGCTGTGCCAGGCTAGGTGCATGAGGAGGTGACGGAACAGACCCCCAGGTGCCACGGGTTGACTGCTGTACCAGGCTAGGTGCATGAGGAGGTCACAGAACAGACACAGGTGGCACGGGTTGACTGCTGTGCTGGCTAGGTGCATGAGGAGGTGACGGAACAGACCTCCAGGTGCCACGGGTTGACTGCTGTACCAGGCTAGGTGCATGAGGAGGTCACGGAACAGACCCAGGTGGCACGGGTTGACTGCTGTGCCAGGCTAGGTGCATGAGGAGGTCACGGAACAGACCCCCAGGTGCCATCCATTGACTGAGGTGACTGGCAGCTGCACCAGCAGCTCTTCCCACTGTGCCAACCATCGAAAGCAAAGGTCCCCCGTACAGCCTGCATATACCCTTTGGGGCAAGTGCTGTTAGCGAGCAGCACCTATGAAGGCCGGCACGCCACGCAAGGGGGTGGTGTGGCCAGAGCCACGCCCGGCCGCCTTTGTCTCCCTAGTGGTGAACGTGCACACACCGCACCAGGTGTTGGTGTCTGTGAGCGGGAATGGAACTCGCGTTGCCGGGCACGTAGTGCAGCGCTAATGGTGACGCCACCGCTCTCCCACCACCACCACCACCACCGCTCTTCCACCACCACCACCACCATCACCACCACCACCACCACTCTCCCACCACCACCACCACCACCACTCTCCCACCACCACCATCACCGCTCTTCCACCACCACCACCACCACCATCACCACCACCACCACCACTCTCCCACCACCACCACCACCACCACCACTCTCCCACCACCACCACCACCGCTCTTCCACCACCACCACCACCACCATCACCACCACCACCACCACTCTCCCACCACCACCACCACCACCACTCACCTACCACCACTCTCCCACCACCACCACTCTCCCACCACCACCACCGCTCTTCCACCACCACCACCACCACCGCTCTTCCACCACCACCACCACCACCGCTCTCCCACCACCACTCTCCCACCACCACCACCACCGCTCTCCCACCACCACCACCACCACCAGCCCCACCACTCTCCCACCACCACCACCATCACCACCACCGCCACCTCCGGCCCTCCATCAGTCGGCCGGTCAGCACTGCACCACACCACACAACACCGCACCACACAGCACCACCACCGTCGTCACACCGCACCACCACCACCGTCACACCGCACCACCACCATCGTCACACCGCCACCACCACCATCGTCACACCGCCACCACCACCATCGTCACACCGCCACCACCACCATCGTCACACCGCACCTTGTCGCGAGTGGCGGCGCGCTGCGACCCGTAGAGGAACTCGGCCAGGGCGGCGACGATGGCGACGCCTAGGCCGGCGGCGAGGACGATGAAGATGCCGCCGATGTTCTGCACCCCCAGGGCGCTCGCCTCCTTCGTCTCCTCCTGGGGGCACGAGCTGCTGCGCCACCACCGCTCCTTGAGCGTGTGCAGCTTGCCCCCCTCCTGCAGCTGCAGGATGGCGATGGTGATCATGTCGCGGTAGGGCGAACCTGCGGGACCCAGCGCCCGGCCAAGAGACCGGGCCCAGCCAGATGCCCAGTCAGCCACCCAGCCAGATGCCCAGTCAGCCACCCAGCCAGATGCACAGTCAGCCACCCAGCCAGATACCCAGCCAGATGCACAGTCAGATACCCAGCCAGATACCAGTTAGATACCCAGTTAGAAACCCAGTCAGATAGCCACTCACCCAGCCAGATGCACAGTCAGATACCCAGTTAGATACCCAGTCAGATACCCAGTCAGATAGCCACTCACCCAGCCAGATACCCAGGCAGATAGCCACTCACCCAGCCAGATACACAGTCAGATAGCCACCCACCCAGCCACCCACCCAGTTAGATATCCAGTCAGCCACCAAGCCAGATGCACAGTCAGATACCCAGTTAGATACCCAGTCAGATACCCAGTCAGATAGCCACCCACCCAGCCACCCACCCAGTCAGATATCCAGGCAGCCACCCATCCAGATAGGCACCCACAGCCACCCACCAAGCCAGATATCCAGTCAGATACACAGTCAGATAGCCACTCATCCAGTTAGATACCCATACAGATACCCAGTCAGATAGCCACTCACCCAGCCAGATACTCAGTCAGATAGCCACTCACCCAGCCAGATACCCAGGCAGATAGCCACTCACCCAGCCATCCACCCAGACAGATAGCCAGTCAGATAGCCACTTACCCACCCACCCAGCCACCCACCCAGCCAGATACCCAGTCAGATACCCAGTCAGATAGCCACCCACCCAGCCACCCATCCAGTCAGATACATAGTCAGATAGCCACCCACCCAAACAGATACCCAGCCAGATACCCAGTCAGATAGCCACTCATCCAGCCAGATACCCAGTTAGATAGCCACTCACTCAACCACCCACCAAGCCAGATACCCAGTCAAATACCCATTCAGATAGCCACCCACCCAGTCAGATACACAGTCAGATAGCCACTCACCCAGCCACCCACCAAGCCAGATACCAGTCAGATAGCCACCCACCCAGCCAGATACCCAGTCAGATACTCACTCACCCAGCCAGATACCCAGCCAGGTCCCCAGTCAAATAGCCACTCACCCAGCCAGATACCCAGTTAGATAGCCACTCATCCAGCCAGATACCCAGTCAGATAGCCACTCACCCAGCCGGACACCCAGTCAGCCACCCAGTCAGATATCCAGTCAGATAGCCACCCACCCAGCCAGCCACCCAGCCACATACCCAGGGAGATACTCAGTTAGCCAGCCAGCCATCCAGATACCCAGTCACATACCCACCCAGCCATATCTCCACCCAGCCAGATACAAAGACAGTCAGCCAGCCATCCATCCACACATCCAGCCAGCCACCCACGCGTAGCGCACGGATGCACACAGAGAGAAAGAGGTCGTGTGGAGGGTTAGGCACAGGCCATTGGACAAAGGCGATCACTGCATCGCACAGCGCTTCCACCCCTCCGTACGGTGGTCCCGTCGCACTCAATTCGAATCCTCGTGGAGATTCTGTTCCCCTCCAATGTGGACCGGCGCATTGCACAGACACATTATACTACACTCGTGTATTGTCGCAGAAAAAAGAAGAAGATGCACTGTTGCGGCCGTCTGGAACGCTCTTCCTTCCGATATTAGGAGCTATGCACTTTTAAATCATCATCTAGATTGACAAACTCATTTCTTTAGATATTGCTTGTTGTTGTTGTGTTTGTCGTCCTTCTCCACACACTTCCGATTAGCAAGGTTGGCTATGCGTATTACCATATCCCTGTCTCTCCAGAGTTCCCTCTCCCCCCATGTCTCCCCATCTCTCCCTATCTCCCTATCCATCTCCCCTCCAGCACCCCAATCTCATTCTCTCTCTCTCTCCCCATCTCCCTCCCACTCACCCCCCCCCCCCCTGCCATGTCTCTTCATCCATCTCCCCACCAGTCTCAATCTCTCTGAGTCACTCTCAGCCTCTCTCAGTCTCTCTGAGTCACTCTGAGTCTCTCTCAGTCTCTCTCAGTCTCTCTCAGTCTCTCTCAGTCTCTCTGAGTCTCTCACAGTCTCTCTGAGTCTCTCTCAGTCTCTCTCAGTCTCTCTGAGTCTCTCTCAGTCTCTCTGAGGCTCTCTGAGTCACTCTGAGTCTCTCTGAGTCTCTCTCAGTCTCTCTCAGAATTTCTCAGTCTCTCTGAGTCTCTCACAGTCTCTCTGAGTCTCTCTGAGTCTCTCTCAGTCTCTCTGAGTCTCTCTGAGTCTCTCTGAGTCACTCTCAGTCTCTCTCAGAATTTCTCAGTCTCTCTGATTCTCTCTCAGTCTCTCTGAGGCTCTCTGAGTCACTCTCAGCCTCTCTCAATCTCTCTCAGTCTCTCTGAGTCTCTCTAAGTCTCTCTCAGTCTCTCTGAGTCTCTCAGAGTCTCTCAGCCTCAATCTCTTAGGAGTCTCTCTCAGAGTATTTCTCAGCGTCTCTCAGTTTCTCTGAGTCTCTCTCTCAGTCTCAGTCTCTCTGTGTCTCTCTCAGTGTCTCTTAGTCTCTCTGCGTTTCTCTCAGTCTCTCTGAGGCTCTCTGAGGCTGTCTCAGCCTCTCTCAGTCTCTCTGAATTTCTCTCAGTCTCTCTGAGTCACTCTGAGTCTCTCTGAGTCTCTCTCAGTCTCTCTGAATCTCTCTGAGTCACTCTGAGTCTCTCTCAGTTTCTCTGAGTCTCTCTGAGTCTCTCCAGTCTCTATGAGTCTCTCTCAGCCTCAGTCTTTTAGGAGTCTCTATCAGCGTCTCTCTCAGCGTCTCTCAGTCTCTTTCAGTCTCTCTGAGTCTCTCCGAGTTTCTCTGAGTCTCAGTCTCTCTCAGTCTCTCTCAGTATCTCAGAGTCTCTCTGAGTCTCTATGAGTCTCTCTGAATCTCTCTGAGTCTCTCTGAGTCTCTCTTAACCTCTCTCAGTCTCTCTGAGTCTCTCTCAGCCTCTCTAAGTCTCTCTGAATCTCTCTCAGAGTCTCTCTCAGCCTCAATCTCTTAGCAGTCTCTCTAAGAGTCTTTCTCAGCATCTCTCAGTCTCTCTGAGTCTCTCTCAGTCTCAGTCTCTCTGTGTCTCTCTCAGTCTCTCTGAGTCTCTCTCAGAGTATCTCTCAGTCTCTCTCAGTGTCTCTCTCAGCGTCTCTCAGTCTCTCTCAGTGTATCTCAGTCTCAGTCTCTCTGAGTCTCTCTCAGCATCTCTCTCAGCGTCTCTCAGTCTCTCTGAGTCTCTCTGAGTCTCTCTCAGAGTCTCTCTCAGTCTCAGTCTCTCTCAGCATCTCGCTTAGCGTCCATCTCAGCGTCTCTCAGTCTCAGTCTCTCTCAGTGTCTCTCTCAGTGTCTCTTAGTCTCAGTATCTCTCAGTCTCTCTCAGCATCTCTTTCAGTCTCTCTGAGTCTTTCTCAGCGTCTCTCAGTCTCTCTGAGTCTCTCTGAGTCTCAGAGTCTCTCTCAGTCTCAGTCTCTCTCAGCGTCTCGCTCAGCGTCCATCTCAGTCTCTCTCAGTTTCTCTCAGTCTCTCCCAGTCTCGCTCAGCGTCTCTCTCAGCGTCTCTCAGTCTCAATCTCTCAGTCTCAGTCTCTCTCAGTGTCTCTCAGTCTCTCTCAGTGTCTCTCTCAGTGTCTCTCAGTCTCAGTATCTCTCTGTCTCTCTCAGCATCTCTTTCAGTCTCTCTGAGTCTCTCTCAGAGTCTCTCTCAGTCTCAGTCTCTCTCAGCGTCTCGCTCAGCGTCCATCTCAGTTTCTCTCAGTTTCTCTCAGTCTCTCCCAGTCTCGCTCAGCGTCTCTCTCAGCGTCTCGCAGTCTCAATCTCTCAGTCTCAGTCTCTCTAGGTGTCTGTCAATCTCTCTCAGTGTCTCTATTAGTGTCTCTCAGTCTCAGTATCTCTCAGTCTCTCTCAGCATCTCTTTCAGTCTCTCTGAGTCTCTCTCAGCGTCTCTCAGTCTCTCTGAGTCTCAGAGTCTCTCTCAGTCTCAGTCTCTCCCAGTCTCGCTCAGCGTCTCTCTCAGCGTCTCTCAGTCTCAATCTCTCAGTCTCAGCCTCTCTCAGCATCTCTCTCAGCGTCTCTCAGTCTCTCTGAGTCTCTCTCAGAGTGTCTCTCAGTCTCAGTCTCTCTCAGCATCTCGCTCAGCGTCTCTCTCAGCGTCTCTCAGTCTCTCTGAGTCTCTCTGAGTCTCAGAGTCTCTCTCAGTCTCAGTCTCTCTCAACGTCTCGCTCAGCGTCCATCTCAGTCTCTCTCAGTTTCTCTCAGTCTCTCCCAGTCTCGCTCAGCGACTCTCTCAGCGTCTCTCAGTCTCAATCTCTCAGTCTCAGCCTCTCTCAGCATCTCTCTCAGCGTCTCTCAGTCTCTCTCAGCATCTCGCTCAGCGTCTCTCTCAGCGTCTCTCAGTCTCAGTCTCTCTCAGTGTCTGTCAATCTCTCTCAGTGTCTCTCTCAGTGTCTCTCAGTCTCAGTATCTCTCAGTCTCTCTCAGCATCTCTTTCAGTCTCTCTGAGTCTCTCTGAGTCTCTCTCAGTCTCAGTCTCTCTCAGTTTCTCTCAGTCTTTCCCAGTCTCGCTCAGCGTCTCTCTCAGCGTCTCTCAGTCTCAATCTCTCAGTCTCAGTCTCTCTCAGTTTCTCTCAGCGTCTCTTTCAGTGTCTCTGAGTCTCAGAGTCTCTCTCAGTCTCAGTCTCTCTCAGCGTCTCGCTCAGCGTCCATCTCAGTTTCTCTCAGTCTCAGTCTCTCCCAGTCTCGCTCAGCGTCTCTCAGTCTCAATCTCTCAGTCTCTCTCAGCATCTCTTTCAGTCTATCTGAGTCTCTCTCAGCGTCTCTCAGTCTCTCTGAGTCTCTCTGAGTCTCAGAGTCTCTCTCAGTCTCAGTCTCTCTCAGCGTCTCGCTCAGCGTCCATCTCAGTCTCTCTCAGTTTCTCTCAGTCTCTCCCAGTCTCGCTCAGCGTCTCTCTCAGCGTCTCTCAGTCTCTCTGAGTCTCTCTCAGAGTGTCTCTCAGTCTCAGTCTCTCTCAGTGTCTCTCTCAGTGTCTCTCAGTCTCAGTCTCTCTCAGTCTCTCCCAGTCTCGCTCAGCGTCTCTCAGTCTCAATCTCTCAGTCTCTCTTAGCATCTCTTTCAGTCTATCTGAGTCTCTCTCAGCGTCTCTCAGTCTCTCTGAGTCTCTCTGAGTCTCAGAGTCTCTCTCAGTCTCAGTCTCTCTCAGCGTCTCGCTCAGCGTCCATCTCAGTCTCTCTCAGTTTCTCTCAGTCTTTCCCAGTCTCGCTCAGCGTCTCTCTCAGCGTCTCTCAGTCTCAATCTCTCAGTCTCAGTCTCTCTCAGCATCTCTCTCAGCATCTCTCTCAGCGTCTCTCAGTCTCTCTGAGTCTCTCTCAGTGTCTCGCTCAGCGTCCATCTCAGTTTCTCTCAGTCTCAGTCTCTCCCAGTCTCGCTCAGCGTCTCTCAGTCTCAATCTCTCAGTCTCTCTCAGCATCTCTTTCAGTCTATCTGAGTCTCTCTCAGCGTCTCTCAGTCTCTCTGAGTCTCTCTGAGTCTCAGAGTCTCTCTCAGTCTCAGTCTCTCTCAGCGTCTCGCTCAGCGTCCATCTCAGTCTCTCTCAGTTTCTCTCAGTCTCTCCCGGTCTCTCCCAGTCTCGCTCAGCGTCTCTCTCAGCGTCTCTCAGTCTCAATCTCTCAGTCTCAGCCTCTCTCAGCATCTCTCTCAGCGTCTCTCAGTCTCTCTGAGTCCCTCTCAGAGTGTCTCTCAGTCTCAGTCTCTCTCAGTGTCTCTCTCAGTGTCTCTCAGTGTCTCTCTCAGTGTCTCTCAGTCTCAGTCTCTCTCAGTCTCTCCCAGTCTCGCTCAGCGTCTCTCAGTCTCAATCTCTCAGTCTCTCTCAGCATCTCTTTCAGTCTATCTGAGTCTCTCTCAGCGTCTCTCAGTCTCTCTGAGTCTCTCTGAGTCTCAGAGTCTCTCTCAGTCTCAGTCTCTCTCAGCGTCTCGCTCAGCGTCCATCTCAGTCTCTCTCAGTTTCTCTCAGTCTCTCCCAGTCTCGCTCAGCGTCTCTCTCAGCGTCTCTCAGTCTCAATCTCTCAGTCTCAGCCTCTCTCAGCATCTCTCTCAGCGTCTCTCAGTCTCTCTGAGTCCCTCTCAGAGTGTCTCTCAGTCTCAGTCTCTCTCAGTGTCTCTCTCAGTGTCTCTCAGTGTCTCTCTCAGTGTCTCTCAGTCTCAGTCTCTCTCAGTCTCTCCCAGTCTCGCTCAGCGTCTCTCAGTCTCAATCTCTCAGTCTCTCTCAGCATCTCTTTCAGTCTATCTGAGTCTCTCTCAGCGTCTCTCAGTCTCTCTGAGTCTCTCTGAGTCTCAGAGTCTCTCTCAGTCTCAGTCTCTCTCAACGTCTCGCTCAGCGTCCATCTCAGTCTCTCTCAGTTTCTCTCAGTCTCTCCCAGTCTCGCTCAGCGTCTCTCTCAGCGTCTCTCAGTCTCTCTCAGCATCTCTCTCAGCGTCTCTCAGTCTCTCTGAGTCTCTCTCAGAGTGTCTCTCAGTCTCAGTCTCTCTCAGCATCTCGCTCAGCGTCTCTCTCAGCGTCTCTCAGTCTCAGTCTCTCTCAGTGTCTGTCAATCTCTCTCAGTGTCTCTCTCAGTGTCTCTCAGTCTCAGTATCTCTCAGTCTCTCTCAGCATCTCTTTCAGTCTCTCTGAGTCTCTCTGAGTCTCTCTCAGTCTCAGTCTCTCTCAGTTTCTCTCAGTCTTTCCCAGTCTCGCTCAGCGTCTCTCTCAGCGTCTCTCAGTCTCAATCTCTCAGTCTCAGTCTCTCTCAGTGTCTGTCAATCTCTCTCAGTGTCTCTCTCAGTGTCTCTCAGTCTCAGTATCTCTCAGTTTCTCTCAGCATCTCTTTCAGTCTCTCTGAGTCTCTCTCAGAGTCTCTCTCAGTCTCAGTCTCTCTCAGCGTCTCGCTCAGCGTCCATCTCAGTTTCTCTCAGTCTCTCCCAGTCTCGCTCAGCGTCTCTCAGTCTCAGTATCTCTCAGTCTCTCTCAGCATCTCTTTCAGTCTCTCGGAGTCTCTCTCAGCGTCTCTCAGTCTCTCTGAGTCTCTCTGAGTCTCAGAGTCTCTCTCAGTCTCAGTCTCTCTCAGCGTCTCGCTCAGCGTCTCTCTAAATTTCTCTCAGTTTCTCTCAGTCTCTCTCAGTCTCTCCCAGCCTCGCGCAGCGTCTCTCTGGGCCCCCCTCTCACCGAGGGGCATGCCCACGCCGTAGCCCTTGCTGTCGATGAGGCCCCCGATCTGCGTGAGGTTGCAGTAGCGCTGCGTCACGTGCTCGATGGTCGTCGACTCCATGAGCATGGCGAAGTCCGTGGTGAGGGCTCGGTGGATTCCCTCTTCGTTGTTCTTGACGAGCGCCGTCTGGTGGCGGCTGCTCATGAACGCCCACATCTTCTCGTACGTCGAGATGCGCGACTTCTGAGTGAGCACGCACGCACGCATGCACGCACGCGGGATGCCCGGTCAGCGGTGGGGGAGGGCGTGGCGGGGAGAGATGGGCGAGTGGGTGATCGGGCGAGTGGGCGAGCGAGCGGATGGGTTGGTGGGTGGGCGGGTGGGTGGATGGGTGAGAGGGTGGGTGGGTGTTTGGGTGAGCGAGCGAGCGAGTGGGTGGGGCGGGTGAAATGGGTAGGGAATTGTTGTGTGAACAAGCGCAGGGATGAGTAGATGGGCGGGTGGACGAGCGGGCGAGCTGAGGGGCCAGTGGAAGGGTGAGCGGGGGGACGAGTGGGCGAGCTGAGAGGCCAGTGGAGGAACGAGCAGGGGGAACGAGTGGGCGAGCGGGTGGACGAGTGGGGAAGCTCAGGGGCAAGTGTAAGGGTGAGCGGGGGGGACGAGTGGGCGAGCTGAGAGGCCAGTGGAGGGACGAGCGGGGGGGGGGGGGCGAGCGGGGGGGGGGGGGACGAGCGGTCTTGCCCACCTTGAAGAAGGTCATGGTGGAGCCGTCGCGCACGGCCCCGTACTCGATCTTGGTCTGCTTGGCGAGGTCGTCCGCGGAGCCGATGGGCGACTCCATGCGCTCGACGGTGAGGAAGGCGGCGAGGTTGGCCGTGTACGAGGAGATGAGGATGAGGGTGAAGAACCACCAGATGCCGCCCACGATGCGCGTCGACAGGGCACGCGGCATCAGCTCCGAGCCTGCGGGGAGAGACATGCGGGAGGAGACGCGAGGAGACACGGGGGAGACGCACGCGGAGAGACACGAGGGGAGACACGTGGAGACACGCGGGGAGATGTGCGGGGAGACACGCGGAGACACGCGGGGAGATGTGCGGAGAGACACGCGGAGACACGCGGAGACACGTGGAGACACGTGGAGACATGGGGAGACACGTGGGGAGATGTGCGGGGAGACACGCGGAGACACGCGGGGAGATGTGCGGAGAGACACGCGGAGACACGCGGAGACACGTGGAGACACGTGGAGACATGGGGAGACACGTGGGGAGATGTGCGGGGAGACGCGCGGAGACACGCGGAGACACCAAGTGACACGTGGAGACACGCGGGGAGATGTACGCGGAGACACCAGGAGACACGAGGAGAGACACGGGGAGACACGCGGGGAGACACGCGGAGACACGCGTGGAGATGTGCGGGGAGACACGCGGAGACACGCGAGGAGTCAGGCGTGGAGTCAGGCGGGGAGACACGAGGAGAGACACGGGAAGACAGACGGGGGAGACACACAGGGAGACATGAGGGAGGGAAGGGGGGGGGGACGTGAGGGGGGTGAGGGGGGAGGGCGCTCCGCACCTTGCTGCATGAGCGCTCCCACGCCGAACCAGAGGCTGTTGAGCATCGTGAAGTTGTTCTCCAGGACGTCCGAGTCCGGGTTGCAGGGGTGAGGATTCTTCCACTCGTAGGGGCTGAATCTGCCGGGGCACATTGGGGTGGGGGGGGCATGGGGGGAAGTGGAGACACGGGGGGGGGGGGTGTGGGGGGCAGAGTGAGATGGAGAGATGGGAAGATGGGGAGAGAGAGGGAATGAGAGAGAGTGAAGGAATGAGAGAGAGTGAAGGAATAAGAGAGAGTGAAGGAATGAGAGAGTGTGAAGGAATGAGAGAGAGAGAGAAGGAGGGAATGAGAGAGGGAAGGAATGAGAGAGAGAAGGAGGAAATGAGGTGGTGGTGGTGGAGATGGATGGGGAGATGCGGAGACACGGGGGGGAGGGGGGTGGGGAGATTGGGGGGGGGCGGGGCACGTCATCGCCAGCAGCACGTGACGACGCGACGGCGAGACAGCCCCTGGGGTCGACTCCCAACCCGGACCCCCTCTCGGTGCGGAGATTCCGGAGGAGCGACGGAGAGCACGCAGACGAGAAGCGAGTTGGAGCAGTGGGGGGCACACAGTGGTGGTGGTGGTGGTGGCGGTGGTGGTGGTGGCGGTGGTGGTGGCGGTGGTGGTGGTGGTGGTGGCGGTGGTGGTGGTGGTGGTGGTGGCGGTGGTGGTGGTGATGGTGGTGGTGGTGGTGGCGGTGGTGGTGGTGGTGGTGGCGGTGGTGGTGGTGATGGTGGTGGTGGTGGCGGTGGTGGTGGTGGCGGTGGTGGTGGTGGTGGTGGCGGTGGTGGCGGTGGTGGTGGCGGTGGTGGCGGTGGTGGTGGTGATGGTGGTGGCGGTGGTGGCGGTGGTGGTGGTGGTGACGGTGGCGGTGGTGGCGGCGGTGGTGGCGGTGGTGGTGGTGACGGTGGTGGTGGTGGTGGTGGTGGCGGTGGTGGTGTTGGTGGTGGTGGTGACGGTGGTGGTGGTGGTGGCGGTGGTGGTGGTGGTGGTGGCGGTGGTGGTGGTGGTGGTGGCGGTGGTGGTGGTGGTGGTGGTGGTGGTGGTGGTGGTGGCGGTGGTGGTGGTGGTGGTGGCGGTGGTGGTGGTGGTGGTGGCGGTGGTGGTGGTGGCGGTGGTGGTGGCGGTGGTGGTGGTGGTGGTGGTGGTGGTGGCGGTGGTGGTGGTGGTGGTGGTGGCGGTTGTGGCGGTGGTGGCGGTGATGGCGGTGGTGGTTGTGGTGGTGGTGGCGGTGGTGGTGGTGGTGGTGGTGGTGGCGGTGGTGGTGGTGGTGGTGGTGGTGGCGGTGGTGGTGGTGGTGGTGGTGGCGGTGGTGGTGGTGGCGGTGGTGGTGGTGGTGGCGGCGGTGGTGGCGGTGGTGGCGGTGGTGGTGGTGGTGACGGTGGCGGTGGTGGCGGCGGTGGTGGCGGTGGTGGTGGTGACGGTGGTGGTGGTGGTGGCGGTGGTGGTGTTGGTGGTGGTGGTGACGGTGGTGGTGGTGGTGGCGGTGGTGGTGGTGGTGGTGGCGGTGGTGGTGGTGGTGGTGGCGGTGGTGGTGGTGGTGGTGGCGGTGGTGGTGTTGGTGGTGGTGGTGGCGGTGGTGGTGGTGGTGGTGGTGGCGGTGGTGGTGGTGGCGGTGGTGGTGGTGGTGGCGGCGGTTGCGGCGGTGGTGGCGGTGGTGGCGGTGGTGGCGGTGGTGGTGTTGGTGGTGGTGGTGGTGACGGTGGTGGCGGTGGTGGTGGCGGTGGTGGTGTTGGTGGTGGTGGTGACGGTGGTGGTGGTGGTGGTGGCGGTGGTGGTGGTGGTGGTGGCGGTGGTGGTGGTGGTGGTGGTGGTGGTGGTGGCGGTGGTGGTGGTGGTGGTGGCGGTGGTGGTGTTGGTGGTGGTGGTGACGGTGGTGGTGGTGGTGGCGGTAGTGGCGGTGGTGGTGGTGGTGGTGACGGTGGTGGTGTTGGTGGTGGTGGTGGTGACGGCGGTTGCGGCGGTGGTGGCGGTGGTGGCGGTGGTGGCGGTGGTGGTGGTGGTGGTGGCGGTGGTGGCGGTGGTGGCGGTGGTGGTGTTGGTGGTGGCGGTGGTGGCGGTGGTCCATCTGGGCAGTTGTCTCAGCAGGTCAACCCGCAGCAGCAACAGCGGTCTGCTCCCGTGACCTCCGTTAGACACTTCACGCAGCCTCAAGGTGCACATAGCCTGGCACAGGCGCCGTAGTGACACGGCACACGAAGGGGTGGGTGGCCAACACCACGCCCGGCCGCCTTTGCCTCCCTAGTGAGAGATGTTTACTACACACCGCACCAGGAACTCATTTGAGGCCGAGTCGGCTTAGGGGAGTCCCAGCACCGGTTCAGAAAATCGTCACCGGTGTTGGCCGTGAGCGGGAATCGAACCCGTGTCGCCGGGTGCGTAGGGGAGCGCGCTAACTGCTGCACCACCGCTCCCCCCCCCCCCAGAAACACGCACGCACACTCGCACATATACGCACACACACACACTAGCACCACACACACTAGCACCGTAGATCAAGTAATTGGCCTGCCGAGGAGTGCGACCCTGACGCCGATAGCAACTCGCTTGGAGATCCCATCACTGGCTGGCTGGCGGTGGATTGACTCAGCCCATCATCCTTCCGTCCCTCTGGGGGTCGATAAAATAGGTAACACCTCGTGAGGAAGTCGACCGCGGCTGTCCAATAGAATGACTCGCCCCCACAACCCCACCCGTTCGCCCGCCATAGGAACGTGGAATTCCACCACAGAGCAGCACTAATGGCACGACGCTCATGCGCATAGGCAATTGCCTGTGACTCTTCCGAGAATGTACGAATATTTACCTAAAGCATGCACATATTAATTAAACGCATACACAGCATATACGCACATATTACAGCACGGGGGATGTATGCTAATTGCGCGATAATAAATTGTAAATAATGCCAATATGAAAACGTTTTAATATACCAACAGAATATGGAAGAGCGCCGCTATTAATATTGTAATGTATCGCGGGGGAAAACTGTCAGGATTGATTTTAAAGCGCCACCCCCCCCCCGACCCACCCCCTGTGTAAATATGCGAAAAATAAAATGCATTGTGATGGTAAAAAAGGCGAGGTCCCTTTGGTTATAATGCGGCTGTTTGTTGAATTATTTGACATCTGCTCCGTTTGGGGGGGGGGGGAAACTGGGAAAAAAAGCTAAGTTTTTTTGTTTGTTCGTCGCATTAAAGGCTCCGACGTGCATTTAATAGATTCGTGTAATTGAGGTCAATGCCAGGCACACACGCACGTGCGAGGAAATAAACACACACACACACAAAGGTCTACCCCGTGAAGCCTCGACACACAATTGGGGCAAGTGCCGTTGACGGGGTGAACCTGTGAAGGTTGACAGGGCGCACGAGGGGGTGGGTGGCTGGCCAGCACCGCGCCCGGCCGCCTTTGTCTCCCCAGTTGTCGGGTTTGTAGCGCAGTGTAGCGCTAACCACTGCGCCACCGCTCACGGATTCACACACACACACACTCAATAATCTATCCACCCACACACCAATGTGCACACACAAAGACAAAGATCCCACGTATAGCCTTAACAGACTGTTGGGGCAAGTGCTGTTAGCGAGCACCTATGAAGGCTGGATCAGCGCACGATGGGGTGGGTGGCCAGCACATACGCCCGGCCGCCTTTGTCTCCCTAGTGGCGATGTTTACTACACACCACACCAGGTACTCATTTGAGGCTGAGTCGACCTAGGGGAGTCAAACACAGACCCACACACAATCCTCTGCACGGCTACTCACGTATACACACACACAAACATCGATACAAAGATCCCCCGTAAAGCCTTCACAGACTGTAGGGGCAAGTGCTGTTAGCGAGCAGCACCTATGAAGGCATGCGCAGCACACGAGGGGGTGGGTGGCCACCACCACGCCGCCTTTGTCTCCCACCTAGTGGCGATGTTTACACATCACACCAGGTACGAAGTTGAGGCTGAGTCGACCTAGATGAAGCCCAGGACTGGTTTAGATAATCGTCACTGGTGTTGGTGCCCGGAGTCGAACTCAGGTGGTCGTAGAACAGCGCGATAACCGTTGCTCCGCCTCTCCCCACATACGCACGCACACACACACTAACACACACACACACTAACACACACACACTAACACACACTAACACACACACTAACATACACTAACACACACACTAACATCCTTCAAGAGCCTCCTCCACAGAGGCCGATCTTGAAACCGCTGGTACCAGTTATCGGCAAGTCCACTCAGCTCCACGTCCTCCTGTGCCACGTCACTACATCTCTTCTGTAGCCCGTGCCGCGCCTGTTTAGCCCCCTCGATCCAGCCGAACAAAAGCTGTTTCGGCATGCGGTGGCTGGGCATGCGGGCTACATGACCCAGCCAACGCAGCCTTGACTGCCGGAGGAGCTCACCGATGGGACCTTGCACAGATCTTTCAAAGATTTGTGAGTTCTCCAGCGCTGTCCTCGATACAGTCTGGTCCCTTCACCTGATGAAGGCCGATTGTGTTGTGGCTGAAACGTCGTGATTTTTCTTGTTTTATTTTTTACCTACGTGACTTTACCGAATGGAACCAAAGAGTATGGATCCTTGCAGTCACGAAAGCTTCAAATCTAGAATTTGTGAGCTCCTCACACAATCCAGCCTGGTTAAAGCCAGGATGGATCGTAGGCAGGCTAGCCTAAATGTTTCCAACCGGCGAAGATGTTCCATTAAGGGGGTCCACGTGTCGCAAGCGTAGAGAAGCGAGGGAATGACCGTGGCCGAGAAGACCTGAAGCTTAGTGCGGAGCGACAGACCAGGTAGCTTCCACACAGGGTTACGCAACCGATGAATAGATATTGCCGCTCGCCTGATTCGGAGTGAGACCTCTGCTGTTAAACTGGAGCCGGTGATAACTTGTGGGGGTGGAGTGTCCGATGGTACAAAATACCCAGGCAGGTGCTTAGTTTTGGTGGGGCTGATGGTAAGGCCCCATCTCTTAGTGGCACGCTCCAGTCTCAGTAGCAGCGTCTCCAACTCCTCCTCTGAATGAGCAGCTATTTCCAAATCATCGGCATACATAACGTGGATGAGCAATAGGGAGCCATCC